AACTGTTGACATCCAATCCTGTGACTGCTGAGGCCAGTTTCTGCAGTTCTCCAGGTGTTTCCTCTGCTGGCTCTGGATCATTGAAAAGAGGGAACTTGTGAAGAAAGAGAAAGAGAGCTAGTGGGCAGAGAAATTAAGCAAGGCATGCATAGCGGATAGTCTTCATATAAAAGCTTTTAGGAGTTCATGTTACATTATGTATATAGGATCTTAACTTGGTGTAGTGGATGTAGTCCTGGAGACTGGAAACTCGTGTTCAAATCCCCACTCAGCCATGGAAAACCAGTCCTTAAATACCTTGATTACCTCGAAAGGACTTTTAGGGCTGCTCACTTGAGAGGCATAAAACCAACTATTATGTACATACTATACATTCAACTGGAGAAAAAAAAAATAAGAATATAAGTACAAGGGAAAGGCTGAAGCTTTAAGGAAATGTGGATTGTCCCACTGGGAGAGAATGTTTGGGCTCAGCATTTTGTAGCTTCCGTATTCTGGTCTAGCGTGGAGAATAGATTGTGGGAAAGAAGATAATGGAGTTGATGGGTCTTTGCCCATCACTTCTCCTTAATGTCCTTCCACTTTATTCTGCACCTTGGCTTCTTACATCAGCTTTGCTTCCAGATGGGAAAAAGGGGTTTTGTCTAGTGTCAGATTCACTGCCTCTCAGTGTGCCTCTTGCACAATAATACACAGCAGTGTCTTCGGTTTTCAGGTTGTTCATTTGCAGAGACAGCATATTGGAGGGATTGTTCCTGGAGATGATGAATACAATCAATCCTGCAGCTTTGCAAGAGAGCCGGAGGAAACCTCCGGGGAGCGGGGGGAACTAACCTTCCTCCTGTCTCCATCAGCTGCATCTCTGAGAGGCAGCCTGACAAGGAAGAAAAAAGAAAATAAGGCTGTTTTTCAACAGTCTTTTTCTGTTGATGGACAGAAAAGCATATTCTCTTCCCTCAAATTGAGACTGATATCTTGGGTCCAAACTGTCTCAAAAACTGCCTGTCTCTGTATGAGTCAGCCAGGCTCTTAGGATCATAACATAGGCAGCCAGAGGTTGAGAGTTTGATTATTATTTGGGGATGTGGACATGAAAATGCTCACCTACTGGACTGTCTTGGTGGAATTCATGGACCCATGCAAGCACGTTTTTGGGGGAAACATTGAAGGTTTGGTGTGTCTAAGATCAAAGGAGTCAGAGACTCCCTCTGAACTCTATGGGCGGTTTGGAAGTTCAGACCAGGACGATTCTGGAACGACCCATATCGGACGGAGGCTTGGACATATTGTAAGAACTTTTCATTATTAATTCCTGTTGACTGTTCTTTATTATTCTGCCTGATGAGCTCCTGATTCATGGCTTTCTGGTGCCCTCTCTGGTGACTGTTCTCTAAATGTCATGCAGGAATAGGTTTTTGTCTCAGCTCTGCGGGCATCTCTCTCACTGTGTCCCTTGCACAGTAATAGACCGCTGTGTCTTCCTCTTTCAGGTTGTTCATTTGCAGATAGAAGTCAGAGGCCCCCTTTGACGCTGTGAATCGCCCTCGGATGGCAGGGGAATAGTTATTGCTGCTAGCAGTGTAATAGCTCACAAGCCACTCTAATCCTTTTCCAGGTTTCTGTCTAACCCAGTGCATCCAGTAGCTGCTAAGAGCAAACCCACTGGTTGCACAAGTCAGCTTGTGAGATTCTCCAGGTTTTTTCAAGACTGGACCTTCTTGAGTCAGAACCACCTGTGAGATGACACCTAGCCATCAAAATGAAAAGGGAGAAAGAGATAGAGTTGAGAGGAAGCCGCAACAAGGAGAACAAGGGTTATTTTAGAGAGACAAATGTAGAGAAAAGGACAAATGTACAGAAAAGTAGAATGCAAAATCCCAGCACACCTGGAGAATAGGCAGCCAGGAAAACGAGCATCAGCGACACAGGCACCATAATGGAGTGATGGGCAGGATCACAGCGGGAGCTGAAGTGCTGTGGGAAGATGTTTCGAAGAGCTCGAGAGCTTTGTGGGTTTAAGTAGGAAGTGAAGATGGCTTTGCATAAAGCCACCAAGTAAAGAGCGACAAGTATTAATACCAAAGAACACTGACGGAGAACCAACAGTGCCATATTTTCTCAGAAAAGGGAGGAGCTACAATTTGCATTTGATGATGACAACCTAGCCACTGCGGTCAACGCATGTTATATATTGTGCAGATTTTCATCTACGGTCCATCCACTTCCTCACTGTGCACCACGGAGAATGTTGCTTCTTCTTCTGTGTGATTAGTGTATTTGTGATATTGGTATTCCGGTTTTGATGCAATTTGGGATGTTTCCCTGTTGGAAATCATTCTAATGGCAGTCCGGAATAACCTTAGGTAAAGGTTCCCCTTGACATT